GCTATGTCGACACTCACACTTGAAATCACATAATATAATTGAAAAAATATACATTTTCATATTAGTTTTCCTTATCTTATTCACACGAACAATGAGATTAAAATATGACCACAACTCGGTAAGATTGCATTCTTAACTTTGACAAGCGCATTATATAATCACAAAATAAATTTACATTTATAATTAATCTTAAAACGAATTAACCCAGAACTCGTACCTCAAAAGCAATAGCTGGCTCATCCTATCAAAACTTCAAATCAATCCGAAATTCAATACAGAGAATTAGCATTTACCTTTGCATGGCTAATAATCAGGACCTAACCCTGGTCCAATCCCGTGAGATAATAGGCTCGGATCAAGCAAACAGAACGGTTCCAATTACCAGTCGGTAGTGTGCGGTTGTGGATTAATTCGGTCCGTGTGAACGCGCGCCTGTTTCAAACGAGGCTTCAGCAGTTCAAACGCGCCCCCGCGATCAGGGTTCCCAGATCACAGTACCAAAATTTGGGAAAAAATATTTGCTTTTATCGACAATTTTTGCCAGCAGGTTCGCCCGCATTCTCTGAATTACTTGTATTATTGTAGTATTTCTCTGTCAATTTGTCTCTGTACTAAAGTTCGTCCAAATCCATCCAGTAGTTTTTATACGTTCATAAATATCCTCACAAACTTCGCAGTTTTAATATTAGTTAGCGTTTGTTTTTTATATGCATCGTGCAAATAAGAAAACAAACGCCATGAAGAGTTAGGGGATGAGCCTCTCCGTCCTTATGCTTACTTGCGAACTTGCTGATGCAAATTGTCAGAGGTGTTGCTGATGCATATTTAATTTTGTTAAAATTCCGAACGCCTATATTTCTCCAACATTTCGGGCACAGGCAAAAATTTTCGGACTTGGCCGGGAAATTCGTAACGTAAGGCAACCCTACCCGCGAGGCCGCGATCCAATTTTCCTTTTATGTGCGAATGGGAGATGGGACAGTGTAGGACTGTTACTGTAGGGTGCTCACCTCGCTGCGGTTGTATTCTACTAGACTTCGTTGTATTTTCCCGATCCCCCGTTTGATGGTTTCTATAATGTGGGAGAATGAAATGGAATGTTCGTGTGTCGGGGTCTGTTGACTGCAATGCTGTTTTGTTGTTTGTTGTAATTGGCTTGGATTTTTAGGTTGTTTTCTAAAAAAAGATTTAGATTTTGTCCATACATTATTTATATATAGTTATAATTAAACTGTCAAACACCAAGCGGTCACCGGTGACCGCAACCTATTGTTCTATAATTGTGTCTACAAAACCGGTACTCGACGAGTTAAACTGTAGAAGGTGTTAGGTTAGTGATATCTGTTTGTCTGTATATATGTATAAATCGCACATAAACACGCATCGCGCAATAACTACTGGACCGATTACGATAAAACTTGGTATGATTTTAATATCTTGATATTTTACGACACTGGGTACTTTTTTGTTCCGAAAAAGTATATACACGAAAAAACTTAATGTTGTGCGGCTCAATCCCTAGACACAATTACTGTACCAAACGCAAATATAAGTTTGTCGAATGTTAGGTTGCCCGCAGCAGACTTTACGCTGTAACTGTAGGGCCGATGGTTGAAATTAGCTTGAACTGATATTATATAATGTGAAAATATGTGAGTTTATGTGTTTGTTTCTTACTTAGTCACATTACCTCTGGCAACGAGGGCAAAGCCACTGGCAGAAGGTAGTATGAAATAATAAAGTTAGTTATCAATTTTTTTCATACATACATACATAAATTCACGCCTGACTCTCATCGACATAGGCAGAGACTAGGGAACGCCAATTACTACGATTCCTACATACCTCTTTAGCTTCATAAACAGTCATCAATGTTTTAATATCGATTAATATCGAATCAAATAACTGTTGGTTGGAAAGTGTTAGTTGTGACATAAGTTGTGATTGAATTCGATCTGTCCGAGTCTAGTGTGGAGACATAAAGGTCAGACCATAACTAGTGCAAAGTGGGCACTACGAAGAAATATGCAACCAAACCTATATTAAAATAACCGTAGTATTTGAATGATTATTACATAATGTAAAAAAAACTAAATGTTCTGATTATATTTAGAACTAATTTCCTTTTGCGTTCGTACGATTGTATAAGTAATAAACATGGTTTTACTACTTCCTCGACACACGTAACAATGGATTATATTGCGCATACAAAGTTGACAGATAAGGCTTAGTTATTGTTGTAAGACTGCACGGTTGGTGCGGTGGCTGGGCAACCGGCTGCCGTGCAACGTGTCGCGGGTTCGATTCCCGCTCGGAACAACACTTTGTGTGATCCACAAATTGTTGTTCCGCGTCTGGGTGTCATTGTGTATGTGAACTTGTATGTTTGTAAACGCACCCACGACACAGGAGAAAATCCTAATGTGGGGCAACGTTTTAATAAAAAGAAAAAAGAAAGAAAGAAAGAAAGAATTGTTGTGACTTGTATTATGTAACACTTTCATTAACCCACACTTTGACTAGAATAGATAGGTAGATGAGTAGCAGTAGATGCATCAACTTACATACTACAATTGTGGCCTTATTTACGGCAAGGAAGAAAGTACAGTGCACCGCTAATCTTCACTTATTTTCTTAATATAATATCATGCCTTTTACCCCCGATGGGGTAGGCAAAGGTGCACATTACGGCACTCAATGCCACTCTACAATGTAAGACCCACTCTTCACTATTTATGTTATGAGTCCCAAGTGGGGGTACCCTATTGCCATATACAAGGCACAATTTCAGATTCCGTGCTATTATAGAGATTTCTTTTTAAACTCCCTCACCAGACCCCTTGTCCAGCAGTGGTACATGCGACCACTCGGCCAACGAGGCATTTGCTTAATATCTGCGATATAAAAGCAAGCAGTGGAAGAGTAAGTATATTTTCGGGTGAACCAACTTTTAATAGGTACCTATCTAAGGTTCACTAACACTAAGGTGACAGACATGTCACCACTCACATTATAATAAGAGACACATACATAACTATCTTTGGTAGTATTGAAAACTATTTCAAACTTCATACACTAATTATGTATTACTGTACAATTCACATTCAAAATAAACTAATAATACTTCATCCAATTCGAGACTAGACCCAAAACCAAATATTAAATCTGCATTTTAAACTACAACACAGTTGTATTATAACTTTCGTATTTGACGAGGAACTCGACTAGTTTCAAGCCATGCTTTTTTTTTAAAGAGGGAAAATCAGCGAATGACTGCTCCCGCCTGGGTGAGGCGGGAGAGAGTGGTAGACTCTTACTGACTAAAAACCACCCCGTTCCTTTTCCTGCACGTCGAACCGGAGTCCCGGTTACCCGTTAGGTTCTCCGCGACTCCGAATCGGCATCGGCCCTGTTGGGCACCACAGATGGGGCCCAACAGGGCCGATGCCGATGCCGACAGACCACCAGGTCTGATGGCTCTTTGAGGCGCACGCGGAACGCGGCGCCCCGTACGCTCGGGTCTGTTTCTGGTCGAACGGGAAGCCACCCATGCTCGCCGTCCGCAGGCCCGCGCTTACGGTGGCCGGAGATCGTCCCGCGATCCCCGATGCCCGGTGTGTCCTTCGCGATGGCTGGGTTGCGAGGAGGCAGCGCTTCGCTGCCTCACGCGTCCCGCCTCCTCCTTAGCTAGCATGACTGCTTCGCAAAAGGAGAAGGCGGCATCCCAGTCCCCCTCGCTCCGCATTATGACCTGCACTAGGCCCGGACGCGAGAGGTTGCCATCGCCGATCACTTCCCTGAGGGCACGGCGGTGCACAGCCTACGCAGGGCATTTCCCTACTGTGTGTTCCACCATGTCCTCAGGTTCAAGCCATGCTAGAGGCTCACATTCAGACGCGGACGGTCGCCGCGTCGCGGGTCGCAAAGTGCTGCTCATGAATATGAGTCTCTAAGCATGGCTTGAAACTAGTCGAGTTCCTCGTCAAATAATTATGTGAGTTAGTCGAAAACATAATAATTTAACAACACAGTTAGACACTTTATTGGTCCTAATAAATAAATAATAAATGCGAACCTTTTTCACTTAGCACCCTGATTTTATAATGAACCTACGTCCGTTGTTCAGTAATACACACTCAATTTGTCAGTCAAATGTACCAGGCTGACATAACAACTAATTTATTTATTGTTAGTAATATAATTTATTACTGATACTCGTTTAGTTATTTCATTCATTTATATTACCTGTCATCTCATCGGTTAGTATAGCCTTATTCTGTACCTATATAGGTATTGTTAGAACCCTAAAAGTTCATATATTTTAATAAAATTATTACTCACTTGCAAATACTGGGAAAATCTCTACTAGTTTCGAACCACAGAGGGGTTCTTCCTTATGAGCATCGTGCGCGGTTGCGCGTTATAAACTAGTAGAGCTTTTCTCAGTATTTGCACGAGAGTAACTGGCGATTTTTTACCTTTCAGACCTTATTTTATAGACTTTTTTAGGATTTTATGCCATAAAGTTTTTATTATTATTCACTGTAGAGGGAAATAGACATGACACACTACGACACATGGCCTGTGTCTGTAACTTAGACTCAGGAAAATTTAATGTAGACTTAGTTTGGGATTTAACATCGTCATCAACAGCCTATAAATGCTCACTGCTGAGCAAAGCTTCTTCTCACACGGGGAAGGTTTGAGCATTAATCACCACGCTTGCTCAATGCGGGTTGGCGATTTCAACATTATAATTAGAAGTTATAAGCTCAGGTTTCCTTACGATGTTTTCCTTCACCGTTTGTCATGGTGTCTAAATAATCTTAAAGTACATATAACTTGGAAAAAGTCACATTGGTACTTGCCGTTGGTAGGTTTCGAACTCGCACCCTCATGCATGAGAAGCGGGCGTCTTGTGGAATGGAACAAGGTTAATCTGGCAATTAGTAGTCACGCTTGCAGCCACTGAAGGTGTTAAAAAATAATGCGTATTATATTTTTCGAATAGATTTTATTCTTACAATACAATTCCATTATACTTTTGTATGTGCTAAATACAGACAGACAACAGTATGTAAGTACCAAATATTAACACTTATATATATAAAAGTACATACATATCATATAGTGATTCTGTTCTAAACGTAATGGTCTTATCTCCATTGTGCGGTTATCGAAAATGATTCCTTATGTGTGTGCTTATAAAGTTGTAATTCATGCGACATTTGAGTTTTGCCTTTTTGCAATGTGCAGGCAAAATATTTATATGTGGAGTCAAGATCAATTTTGTTTTTCGGATATCTATTCTATAAAGCTAGAAGAAGGTTATTTAGATTGATTTAGACAAACTTTCCTTGACATACACTTTACAAAACAATTTTCAATACATGTTTTTTCTTCAATATCGCAAACAGCTTAACAGATTTCGATAGACTAGGTTATAGATAGACCATGTCTTGGATCAAAAGGACGATTTACCCAAGTATTGTGGGCAAAGTGCTAATTTTTAATTAACAATTGCAATAATAAATGTGATATTTTTCGTATGAATGATTTAAATTTGATAACAAAACTATAATGGGCAGCTAAATACAACGATACTTATGTAAAGTACCCTAATTAAGTACATAATATCTTAGACGATACATTTATATATACAAATCGATTATTTACAAAATATTATGATTATTATTCTCTAACAGATTGTACTTAAGTAACGGGTAAGATATCAATTAATAATAAATATACAAAAAAATGCTGACAGTGCGTCTACTTATTATAGGAACCAAAATTATTCTTATATAAATTATGCTTAGTATGTAACCCATTGTAAATAAATTATTCTTTCTATTCAACTTAATAAATTATCTATTACAATATCTATCTGTACATTATAATGTTAATATTCACAGTGTCTTCCTTATTCACAAATATAATCGATTAATATTATTTAAGCAAGTTTAAACTAAAAGGATTCAAAAAGCAAAGAGATATTTACCACGGTTTATGAAGAACATTAGTCTCCAATTTCGCGACAAAAAATGTGTGGTCCACGGATTAGCGAACTTTTTTAAAAGGTGATTAAGTATTAGACCTACTTTGATATTCCACAAAAAGTCTTCCTAAAGACTAATACAGTAATATCTGATCGAAATCGATCAAAAATTGCTCTAATGAAAGAACATGGAAAATTAACCTTTATAGCACCAAATAGCAACAGAAAACAAACTGGTCAGCCATTAACTGCATTAACATAAAAAACAAACCTGATTCAAAGCGGGAGACTCCTTAACGTTCACAGAAACTAAAATCACATCAACACTGCGTCTTTTTATAGATAGTTCGTCGCATATGTTAGTTAATAACACTGCTAAAGTCCACTTTATAGCCCGTCGAGCCGCATCAGTCGTGGAAGTCTCGCGGCTCCGGCTTGAGCTACCACACCAAGCCCTCAGGATGCAGAGGGGGCGGCCCGTCGCCGAACGTGAACTCCGGCGAAGATGGCCGAGGCAGCACGAGGTGGTCCGGGGGCGGGAACTGCTCGGGAAACTCCCCGCCAGGAAGAGTCTCCATGCCGCCTGCGAAACGACCTGCTTCCGTTACTAAGCGCCTGGTACATATTTTAATGTGATGGTTAGATTTTTGTTGTGATATCGTTGCACCAAGTGGAAACTTTTAGTCAACAATAAAATCTAAAGACTTTAAACACTTGTTTTACAGAATTCTACGTTAAATTTTCGGTAATACATCAACGTAAGTTTAACCATTACATAATATGACGCAAACATTACTTCAATTTCAAAGTCGCAAAAGACATATAAAATGTATAATTGTCAGTGTTCACGCGTTTAACACTCTTGTCTGAGGAGTTTCGCTCGAACAAGCCATTATGGTTGAACTTGGCCCTGATTTGAAAATTGCGGACGAGATACGAGCAAGGTACTTTGAAATAATAGGAATTTGAAATCGAGATTGACTTTGAAACTCGTCACAGACATTTGTGTCTGAGAATGTTAAGTTAAATATGAAGTTCTTTGTTAAAAAGTCTACCAACCTGGCTGGTTAAAAGGCATGGCCGGCGGTGGATGGAAGAATGGCGCATCATGGTGGAACGGCGGGCCATAACCAAATTCGAACTTTCCATCCGCCGTCGCGAAGTACGGAAACCCCGGAGGGCCGTCCTCCAGTCCACCCGGAGACAGGTTCATTGGGAACCCTCTCATCTTGCGGGACGATCCGAAAAACGGACCCCGACCCATCGATGTCAGCTGCTTCAGACGACGCTCCTTCGATCGCTTGTTTTGGAACCACACCTGTTGAAGTATAGGAATAATTAGACTTTATAGCGACTATAATATATTGCAATTAATTTATTAAAATTGTAAAGTTTTATACTATGAGTATTATAAAGGAACAGAAAAATCGCAAGGCGGTCACGTAATTTTCATTAGATTCGAAAGTTTTCATTGAATTCGTTTATGCACGATTCATAAAGCGACAACGTCCTTCAATGAGCAGGCGTCAACGTCAAGAAAAATACCAGTAATAATAATATCTACATCGTAAAGTATAATAACAATAAATGTTTGAGAAAAGCGAAAAATAGTGATGTGAACTGCTCTTTCAGATGACAAATAAAACTTTACTGTCAGACCACATTTTGCGGTCGTCGCGTATTTGTTATAGCCGATGACTAAGGCAGTTCCATCTAGATTTTTATGAGCACTACGTACTCGCATTGTACACATTCCCACCAAACCAATGTCCAATACTTAAATACATTGGATTTTATTCGATACAACGTCTATTTTTGATTACGTAGAGGTTAGAAACAAATCGACGTACTAATCATGCAATTATCGGATCGTTTAGCAAACCAAGATTAAGCAATCATCGCGTCTAATCTGACAATTAACTATTTTTCATCGTTTTTCTGGTTGTAAATAGTTTTTAGGAATAAAGTTGTCTCGTCTCGTTCACGGCGCGTTACTGCGTCGCGTGCTGGTCGCGTCACTAATCTAACTTGTGTAACGGCTAGATCGCACGGCTCGCGGTGTATCGTGTGTGCTCGCCATTATATTCGCTCCGCATTCAGTGTGAGCCGTGCCTAAATATTGCTCGGCATTGACACGCTTTGACACAAAGGCCGAAGTGACCCTAGCTTGTAGAAAAATGAAGAATGAGACGAAATTATCATGTTCAGAACAAATTCCCTCATTTTTAAAATGTGTACCCTATATCATTCAGCAAAAGGTTCTTTTTTCTTAGTCCTACTGATTATTTTAATGCTCCTAGCAAGCATTTAAAATATCCTACGTACTACCTAGTACCTACATAAAATATTAATGAAAATTATACCCTAACCAGTTTAGATATGGTATTATTTTTACTAACGCCACTTACAGTTATAGCCTTATAGTCATTTTGAGCAAATAATTCTTGGTTTAGTTGTAAAATTTTACACTTATCGGACTTAATATTGCGTAGTAAAAACCATAGAGTGGCTTGCATTACCTCTATAAAAATATTGTTTTATTAAGTTTTCTTTACAACTGTATGTTTATAACATTAAAAACTTAAATTGGATTAAAATAATAAATGGATGTGTAGTCCACACATCTGCACAGAACTTCTTTCAGTTTTTTTCTAATTATTTTCTAAGGTTCTTGATTACTCGGGAATTTTTCAATGGCCTATTTAATTGAATGATGGTGTAATAGTAACAGAAATAGATCAATTAAATTCGATCTTGTCGTGGTTCGTCAAATCACAACTCCATTATAAAAGTAATTAGAAAATATTTTTTGTTTCAGAAGCAATTAAGTCTATTTTTGTTTGCTAAAACTTTTTACATCTAAATAATACACGGTTTCGTTACTATTTAAACATAATTATGTAAATAGACACATTTGTATTTATCATTTAAAACACAACGCCGTAAATTACAATCAAAATTTTGTTTGTAGCGGCTTCCAACTGTGTGGAGCACATCTTTACTATAAATTGCCATTTATAAATGATAATAAAATGATATGAAATAAGCGGTACACTGTAGGACCCATAACATTCGCGTAACGTGGCCTTATCATCTAAAAAACATATGAAGAAAACAAGAGCGTTATTGTTAAAGGCTCGCGCGCGCTAGCCCCGCTGCGCAGGCGCACGCTTTGATCGCGCCGCCGCCGAGCCCACGCACGCCATTTGCACAGAAATCACATTTACAACCTGATCCAATTCTCTTGCATAAACTATTGATTAATGGACATAGTAAAAGGCTAAGAATTTTGTCTATCGATATGTCTATTAGTATAACAATTTATTTTAAGGTCATTTTTTATTAATAACAAAATAAATCATCAACTTATTGCCTGCAAAATTGGAGCAGCGATTAGCATTTTGCGCGAAATCCTAAACCTAACACGTTTGAAGCCGGATACTACTTGATAAAACGCAAATAGCTATTACGTATGAACATTGTAAACTAACTTACTACCTTCATAATGCTTACTCGACTAAACGGACCACCGGGCTACACTACTGGCAACCTATAATCAAGTATAGAGGCATTTTTTGTCGTCAAAATGACTCGAGATCACCGGCTACGCAAATCGATCAGACTCTGCGAGTAATCTGTGGCAGTGGCAGTGTTCCCTACTTTTAATGCCGTTTCAAAGAATCCACAACAATTTTATTACAGTTTAAAACTACAATTATCATTAAATTGGTTACCTAAGAAATAATAAAGTGTTATGTACAAAACATTTAGCAACACCTCGTAAAAATGTTATATTATGTAATTTAAATATGTAATTTAAAATGAGAATTATATTATAACAATATTATATTATGATTTTATTCACATTGCAATGATTTTACATTTGTTACTGGCCAGTCAATTAATGTGTTTGTTTTTCCAAGTGTTCATTTAAATTGAGAACAGAGACGAATTAAAAACATAATAAGATATCTGTTGAAAAAAAAACATGACACGAATTTTAATAACGAACTGAGAAATTAACATTTCTGTTTTATAATGTTTCAATACGTAGAATAATGTAGGAAATCAACTTCGGCTCTGAAGACACCATAACATAGCAAAAATCTTTTACCATTTCAAGACCTTACAGTTACTTCAATAGGGTAGATGCCATGATATTTTAATGTCCGTCTGGTAGATTATTTTAAATCATTCGTATATTTAACTTTCTTACAGAAACGAATACTTTCGACGATATATTGATTTGAAATGTCGCGTGACGTCACTTCTATATACATTTTATTAGTAGAAATGACGTTTTAGCCCCCACTCCTAAACTTCGATTCGTTTTATCCAAGTATTGTTTTATTATACGACAAAATAAAAAAATACGTGTCTAATATTTTTTCATTACGTAACTTACGGACTAATTGTGTAGATTTTTAATTTTCATACTCTGTCATCATCCCAATTGTATTATTTTGTTAAGCTTCCAAGTCAAGCTTATAGTATTGACGACACGAAATAAACACGACTTAAACTGTCAAACACCATGCGGTCACCGGTGACCGCAACCTATTGTTCTTTAATTCTGTCTATATTAATGACGGTACTCAACGAGTTAATTACTATTCTAAGCCCCAAAATTGAAAACTTGAACAACAAAAAATCAACAAGCAAGGCCATCCTTCAATAAATCACATCATAATCAAACATGCAAATTTTAGAACGGCGTGAAAGATTATCTTAATAATTCGCAAATGATACACATTTACGTTAAACAGTTCATGCATAAATCCAATCAGATGTTTCTTTGATTAACTGTCACCATTATTAGGTTTTGACGTGGCATTCAAACACAATAAATTATATTTCGACATAGTCCAATCAACCTTTACAACTGGTACAGTTACAAATGAAAACGTCTACTATCAATCAGATTTAAGAAATCGATGATTTAACGAAAATGTCACTTGATTTTTCGATCTATATTTTATGTAAATTGGTGTTTTTTTGTTAAATGATGTGTAAATTGATGTGATGTAAAGATTGTGCGTCAATAATATCTATTCCAACCACAGTAAAAAAAAATTATTCATGACTAGCGACCCGCCCCGGCTTCGCACGGGTGCAATATGTATATACATACAAACCTTCCTTAAGAATCACTCTATCTATTAAAAAAAACCGCATCAAAATCCGTTGCGTAGTTTTAAAGATCTAAGCATACATACGGACATACAGCGAAAGCGACTTTGTTTTATACTATGTATTGAAGAGGATAAGACACAGGCCACATGCCGAAAACGCTAACTACAGTAACGTCGAACATACTGCTGAATGTCCCAAAGAACGCGACAAATTGTAGTATAAAAGTTTAAGAAATATAATAATAATAATATCTATTGACTATTATTATACGTATATTTTGCAGTTTGTCATGCTGTTAATCGCTAACAGTCGTTTTTCCGCGAATAGTAACGAAAGCAGAAATAGATAAAGCTGTAACTTTAAAGTACTTTTTTCAGCTGAAGCACTTAGGACACCTAAGAAATGCTATCTCAGTACATTCAGTATAAAATGTGACATCTCTAAAACAAGACATTTCTACCGTGACACTACTCAGCTGATCCTTAATTGACGTGTTCCCTTGCCTAACGTCCAAGCTTATCGTTATTGCCTTTTATTACTTAATCACACCAATAGATCAACGCAACAAAAAATACGTTACCAGAAAAAAAGTAAACTCTATAATACATGAACTATTAAAGTTTTACTCATAACCACGTGATTAGACCAGCCCTATTATTGGCCACTCGACCATAAAAATAATAACATTTGATGCCTGTTTTCGATGAGAACCATTAGTAACAGTCGCATGAAGTGGCCACTTCGTAGTTCTAGATTTTTCTAAAGTACCATCCGTCCTCCAAAAGTCACTTGGTTCTTTGACAACACTCTTGCTTTTACTTATTAACACTTTTTATATCTCTTTATTACAATTTAATCCCATGTACTGGGACTAATTTACGAAGAATAAACGAAGAAGAGTAATCTTTCAGGTAAAAAGTTTCTTGTCATACACTCACACAAAAAAACTATTAACAATTCAAATTTTTGCTAAGGAGGAAACTAATATTCGAAAAATAATTATTAGGTATTAATCTTCTTTGTTTTAGACCATAATGTAACTATGAATATTCAACAGTGTGAGTCACGATTAAATATCTAAAGTTTCTACCGCTTTGAATATTTTAAGGTTCGTGTCTTGTAAATGATACCTTTACGGCCTAAACTAAACTGTACCTCGATAAATACTACAAGGCCCAATTACCC